ATGTTAAGAAGAAAGATAACAATTAAAGTCAGAGGGAAAATTAAGAATTTGTATTTCCAAAAACTGAATCAGTGATCTTGAGACTAAGTTTGAATAACTTCCAGGAATACATAATAAAAGCAAAAATGTAGAAACAATCTAAAAGATGACACAATATAGATGATTATATTGTTGAAAACTTATTGACTCTTACATTGTTAAAGAAAAGTGTTTATAGTCTCCCCAAACTACTGTTGTTATAGTCACATGGTGGTACAGTAGTAAGACACTATCTTCTGTCAGGTAGACCCATATGGGAAGGTTCATGGTTCAAGGCTAGAGACTTTCCTGAGTACACCAGGCATGGGTGTACCCATGTTCTTGGGCTGACTAAGGCTGGGGTTGACTCTGGCATCAAGATTCTATTAAAGGTGTTCTCTCTCTCTGTTTTGCTCTCTGTCTCTTGTTCATGGAAAAAATAAATAACTCTCAGAAAAAATATCATGTCTGAAAATATCCACATTAGAAGTGAATAACCTTATTGTACTTCTCATCCTGTAAGAACATTACTTTTTTAGTTAAATGTGGATATTTAAAGATAACAGAATTTCAGAGTTAAAAGATGTCTTAAAGTTATTTAGTTTAATCTTTTCTCTGTTATTTGAATTTTCTTTAAACCACTTATGCCCAAGCCTTTGAAATTCCTCTGATGCTCCCGGCATCTAACCTTTAACAAAGTATGTCCTTCCTCATTGCCTTTACATCTATATTCAATTGCAAGACATGAGTTCCTGAAAAAATGTTTAAAAAATAAAGAACTAGTGTTGCTAGAAGTTCAGGAAAATTTTGCATATCATCCCCCCAAAAGAATAAGTTTAAAAAACTTATATTTGGGACCAGCAGTTAGCGTAATGGCTATGTCGCTGGACTCCCAAGTAGTCGATCGCGGTTTGAGTTCCAGACCTGGTGGCTTAAACTCACGCTGGGTGTGTGTGTGTGCATGCCCAAGATCCTGAGAGGAGAATGGAGGAGAAGGGATTGTGGCATGGCCATTCCCTCTGGGGGGTGAATTCTCGCTTTCTGTCTCTCTGTCTCTCTCTCTGTCTGGCGGGCGCACCCACCTTATAGCAAAAACCTCTCCAAAAGAAAAAAAGAAGAAAAGAAAAAACTTATTTTTTTAAGTGTGTTAGTTCAAATATTAGACTAAGGTAATAATTCTCATGGAGATAATGATGAGTCATGGAGAGGTGTTATCATATATTAGAATATCCCAAGGAAACTTTTCATGACAGTATCTTTGATTTCTTGTGTGTGTGTGTGTGTTTATAGAATTATTTATTGGGACCAGCAGTTAGCGTAATGGCTATGTCGCTGGACTCCCATGTAGCCGACTGCGTTTCACATCCCGGACCCGGCGGCTTAAACTCACGCCGGGTGCGTGTGCGTGTGTGCCCAAGATCCCAAGAGGAGAATGGAGGAGAAGGGATTGCGGCATGGCCATTCCCCCTGGGGGCGGGGTGGTGATTTCTCGCTTTCTATCTCTCTGTCTCTCTCTGTGTGTGTGGCGAGTGCACACGCCCTATAGCAAAAACCTCTCTCTCTCTAAAAAAAAAAAAAAAGGAATTATTTATTTATTTAATTCCATTTGTTATTATTATTTTTTAATTTGACCAGAGAGAGACAGAGAGAGAGAGTAAAAGGGAGAGTAAGAAAGCAAGCTGCCAGGTCCAGGACTTGAACCATGGTTGACTATGTGGGAATCTAGCACCTTTAACCACCATGACACTGCTGGCCCTACTGTCTTTTATTTCTTAATCCCTCAGCTCTCTAATTCTTATCTTCTACTTTTCACACTTTAGAATTCACTGTGAAAACAATGACAAGTTCATAAAATGTGTGCTTGTTTCTTCTACAGCTTTGAAGTTGGACATATGGTTGCCCAGCTAGAGACTACACTTCCCAGATTCCCTTGCAGCTAGGAATGGCACATTCTCAGTGGGGTGTGTACAAAGGAGAGTTTAGCAACCTCACCTTAACTACTCAAAGGAAAATCACTGCCCTATCCTTGCTTTCTCTTATTTCAGTCATTGTGTTTTTGAATCTGTGTTTTGATTTTTTAAAAAGTTTATTTATTTATCATTTATTTTCTTTCATGAAAGAGAGAGACCCAACTGAGTCTTCATCCTGAGATCTACTCCCCGTTTTAGCCAGCCAGGATCACAATCATGAGAATACTCAACATACACAAGTAGATTCCAGGTCATTAACTCAGGATCTTTCCCAAATAGTTCCATTTGCATTTTTCTGTTAGAGTTCCCCATTTCTGCTACCCTGACTTTTGCTACTCTGTCTCTATTTATTTTATTTTGAAACTTTGTATCCTTTCCTGTGTTTGACTTTCTGGTATTTCTCAGATTTTCTGCTTCTTCTCTCTGGAGTTCTGGATTGACAATTTGCCTAAGTGGGCCATTTGACACAATGTGATATTAAAAGTGAGAATTTAAAGCACATGACTAATAGTGAGAGATTTAAGTTAACTTAGGGTTGGAAAAAAAGGAATAAATACACAGGAAAATTCAGGGTGCTGAATTTCTATATTAAATTACTAAGCTTAGTTTGTTGCAGACAATCTTTTTGCAGATCTAGAATTTATCATCTCATGCCTTTGGTTGTAAATGAGACTCAGAATTTTTTGGGGGGTTTTTGTTTTTATATTTCACCATTTTTTTTCCTATGCTAGCCTATCTATAATGTGTTTGCATACTGAGCACTTATTTGCAACTTCTCATAATTACTGTGAACTCCAAAGAATCTGGAAAGTCTCAAAATAGCATAGCCATGGGAATTGAAGACCTAAGGATGACAACGTACTGTTAGCTGTTAACAGATTAGCTAGTAAGTAATTACTGTTTCCTTGCATTACGCATCATGAAATGAGCTTTATAAGTTTTATATAACTTAACTATCAAGACAACTCTATCAGGTCATTTCTTCCATCACTGCTATTTTTTTGGAGAGTTTTTTTTTTTTTTGCTATAGGGCGTGTGTGCTCACCAGACAGGGAGACAGAAAGCGAGAAATCGACCCCCAGAGGGGATGGCCATACTGCAATTCTTCTCCTCCATTCTTCTCTTGAGATCTTGGGCACACATGCACATGTGCCTAACGTGAGTTTTAAGTCACCAGATCTGGGACTTGAACTGTGGTCAACTACATGGGAGTCCAGCAACATAGCCATTACACTAACTGCTGGTTCACACCACTGCCATTTTACACACACACCATAGGTGTCAAGAGTTAAGGTAAATTAGTCAGTCTCACAGAGCTAATGTGATAAACCAGGCAAATATACTCCAGAGTTGTGACCACACACTTTGAATTTTAAAAAGCTTCTGGAGAAGTAACTGGAAAAGAAAATAAATTATGAGAGAGAGAAAAAGGAAGGAAGGGAGAGAAAAAGAGAGAAGGGATGGAGGGAGGGAGTGAGAGATGACGGGGAAGGAAGGATAATGATGGTGCCATTAGGCATCTAAGTGAAATTTAAATCTCTAAACTGAGTGATTATAAAAATTTAAAAGCAAGGAAAACATGAAAAAAATATATATATATTGATCATCTTTGGAAAATGCAAAGGAATCAATGTACTAATTTGAAAATTGGTAAGCAAAAGAAAAGGTTTCTGCAATTTCTGTAATGATGTCAGCCTATAAAATTATAGTACTAAAGAAGGAATAATGAGTTGTGTTATCTAATATTGAATGTGCTCCTAAATGAATACTTCAAAGAGATGTAGTAAAAAAAAAATCGAGGGGGAACCAGCAGTTAGCGTAATGGCTATGTCACTGGACTCCCACGTAGTCAACCGTGGTTCGTGTCCCGGACCCGGTGGCTTAAAACTCACGCCGGGCGCGTGTGCGTGCGTGCCCAAGATCCCGAGAGGAGAATGGAGGAGAAGGGATTGTGGCGTGACCATCCCCCCTGGGGGGTGATTTCTCGCTTTCTGTCTCTATGTCTCTCTCTGTCTGTCTGGCGAGCGCACGCGCCCCACAGTGAAAATCTCTCCCAAAAAAAAAAAAAAAATCGAGGTACTCCTGTAACTATTTTTGCACGGAATCTAGTGTTACAATTGTGATTTTTCCCTTTTACTTTTCCTCTATCCCTCAAATTATTTTTAGTGCCAGACACCACAATTAAAGACCAGCAGTTAGCGTAATGGCTATGTCGCTGGACTCTCACGTAGTCGACCGTGGTTCACATCCCGGACCCGGTGGCTTAAAACTCATGCCGGGCGCGTGTGTGTGCGTGCCCAAGATCCCAAGAGGAGAATGGAGGAGAAGGGATTGCGGCGTGACCATGCCCCCTGGTGGATGATTTCTCGCTTTCTGTCTCTCTGTCTCTCTCTGTCTGTCTGGTGAGTGCACGCGCCCTATAGCAAAAACCTCTCCAAAAAAAAGAAAAAAAAAACAAAAAAACCCCCACACAATTAAGAAATGAATTGATATTCAGTATTGTATGGAGAAAATATTCCTGAATCGCTAGGCAAGAGCTATATGTTGTGATACTATTGCCACTCACTTTCAGGATGTGTGACTTTGAGCAAGTGAAGTCAGTACCTTTTTGAGTTTCAGAGACCTAATGATATGAAGAATAATGTGACGGTATCTTGTGGGATTAACGGATGCCTTTCAAATAGAAATGAATGTGGCTTTTTTTTTTATTAAAATGTTTATTTTAGAGGACCAGCCTGTGGCTTATGGTCAAGGGAGTTGGATCCCCATGGCTGACCATGTGGTTCAAGTTCTGGACTTAGAGGCTTGAAAAACACCCCAGGTGCATGTGCATGCATGTCCAAAATTTCAATAGGATGGATAAATGGAGGAGAAGGGATCACTGCATGACTGTGCCCTATCAGTGATGTTTTCTCTCTTTATCTCACTCTGTCTGTGCCTCTGTCTATCTCTGGCTAGTGCATGTGCCCTTGGGCAAATTAAAAATAAAGGTGGTGATGACTTCCCCATGAGAACATCCTCTCACAAAAGACCTCCTTCATCCCTCTCCAGAAAAGAAGCAGAAACACAAGAAGAAGCATCTGATGCAGAGCCCAAATTCCTACTTCATGGATGTGAAGTGCCCAGGATGCTATAAAATCACCACAGTCTTTAGCCATGCACAAACGGTAGTTTTGTGTGTTGGTTGCTCCACTGTCCTCTGCCAGCCTACAGGAGGAAAAGTGAGGCTTACAGAAGGATGTTCCTTCAGGAGGAAGCAGCACTAAAACATCCTGACTCAAGATGAATGGGAAATCATCCCAATGATATATATCACATTTTTTGCAATATATATATAATATATATACTATATATAATACATATATTATATGCATAAATTATATATGTATATAATACATATATATAATATATATTATATATATATATTATATGGAGAGAACAATTATAACTCTTATTGTATCTTATCTTTGAAAGAGACTTACACTGACAATGAAGTATTTAAAGTCCATCATAAGACACTAATTGGTCCATTTTTAGAAATAACTAACTAGAAAGTTACTATTGAGCAATTACACTTGTGGAGTTTACAAAAATAGTGAAAATAACCATGAACTATCCACTTTAATGAACTTTATCATTAGGAGATACTTGAAGTAGATCAGGGCTAATCTTATCTGTTCACTTAAGTAGAGAACAGTATTTTTCAGAATACTTTTTGGCAGTTATTTTCAAGTGGTTATCCCTAACTAATCTATCATTAGCAACAGGTAAACAACTTATAAAATAGTATAAAAAGAAAGAGCTTACCAAGTGCTATAGATGAAACCATTCATATGGAAATATAAAAGTTAATTTAATCTTGCTTGCCGATTGCAGAGTTAAAGTGGACAAAAGCATCATGACCTATCTTCATTATCCCTAACAACTAACACCATGTTTGAGGTATTGTATATGAAGCAATTACTGTGCAATTAACTGTGTTCTCTTTCATTTAGAAGGTACCCTCCTGGGTTAAAGCAACTTTGTTCCTAGCATTAGTGTCAATGATCCATTAGAGTTTCTGATTAAAAAGTACCTCCAGGTTGAAATATGGTAGTTAAGCTTTCAACTTGAGATAATTTTCTTTCTTTGATTCTTTTAAACCTCAGCAATACAAATTATGTGGCTTTAAAATTATGTACATGAGTTCAAACACCTTTCAGAAGTCATTAATAAGTTCTAACATGAAAATAGCTTGTTTTGCAGCATAGAAGAAGCAAACGTATGGACAAGTTGAACTGTCTTAACTCTTGCTGCAGTAAGAGCAGCTTTTGTCCTATCACAATGAGGGCACTAATCTTCAAGACCTCAAGTTTAAATATTAAAAAAAGTGTTCAGTTTCCTCTTTTCCTCTGAAATGCTGTCTTTTTAACCTTTCCAACCAGCAACCAATGACAAGTTTATTCCTGGCCTTGGTTCAAAACTCTCAGCACTATACAAGGTTACTGCCAGAAAACAAGGTTAAGAACATGGATCCTCAAGCAAGGGCTGGATTAAAGTGTGCAGGAAGGAAAGCATGGTGAGTAGGACCAGACCCTTCCTTTCTCATCCTCTCTTGTATCCTCCTACTCTTAGGTGTTTAGCTCTCTCTCTCTCTCAAGATACTTTTGCTATAGGGTGCATTTCTATCTGGAGATATAGAGAGAGATGGAGAAAGAGCAAGTGAGAAATCATCCCCTCAGGAGGCATAGCCACACTACATTCCATTCTCTTCTTGTGATTTTGGGCGCACACACACATAAACACACACACATACCCAATGTAAGTTCCAAACTGCTGGGTCCAGGACTTGATCTGTGGTCAGCCACGTGGGAATCCAGCTCCTTAACCACTACACCACTTATCAGCTCCCCTCATTTTTTCTTTTCTTTTTTTTTTTTTTAAAGAGAGAGATTTTTGCTATAAGAAGTATGTGCTCACCAGAGAGACAGAAAGCAAGGCATCACTCCCGCCCACCCCCCCCGGGGGATGACCATGCCACAATCTTTTCTTCTCCATTCTTCTCTTGGGATTTTGGGCACTCATACACATGTATCTGGCCTAAGTTTTAGGCTACCAGGTCTGGACCTTGAATTGCTATCAGCTAGGTGGGATTCCAGCAACGTAACCATTATGCCCCCTGCTGGTCCCGCTGCCCCCCCTTTTTTGATGAAAAGATTTTGTATTCCTTTCCATAAAGGGTGAAAAATGCCTTATTGAGTAAAACTTTTTCATTACATGGAATTTTTTTGAAGATAAAAAGATAGCCTCAAGTAAACCAGTGCCCAACTGCAGGCATCATGTAAAAGATGAATGTTTGAAAATTTTGCATATTTGAAGTGTGAAACTTAGAAAGTTTAAAAGGCATTCTTTCTATTTTACATAGAAATTTCTGAATTAAGATGCTTTTCCTCCAATGATCACCTGTTACCTGACTCAGAGGTAAACCTGTGCTTGCTATGGTAATAATCCTCATTTCCTTCCAAAGGTATTCTGTTTTATTTTAAATATTTTTAAAATACCTTCATCACTAAGAATTTATAAGATATCTAACTTTGCAAGTTTTAATGTTAGTTGACTCTGAGAAAATAGATAAGAAATATAATTCAAATGGCATATCTATATTGAAAAATTTTATTTTTTTAGCTATGAAAAGTTTAAGAACATTTTTAAATAGGGTGACAATTCAAGAGAAAATATAAAACCTTTAGGTCTATTCTTTGATACATTTGAATACCAAAGAAAAATTCCAACACCTGTGTTTAAAGGATATTGTAAACTTTAGGAAGAATAAAACTTTACAATTCCTAAGTATGAGGCAAATTTAATTCTAAGATTTTGTGAGTGTACTGAGTTTTCCTAAGTGGTAGGAACATGTAAGAAGTCTCTGGTTGGAATATTGTCAATATTAATTATTGCCTGGGCAAAAGGAAAAAATATTCAATGATAACGAAAATTTAAGAACTGTCAAAGTACTTTCAAGAATATCATAGAGGTAGAAGTGTTTGTAATGAGTGCTTCTGAACAGTGAGTCTATAGATACCTTTTGACTTCATTAGGAAATGTGCATTTTTTTAATGTAAAATTTTGTGTCATAGATTTGAAATGTTTAGGATGAAATTCTTCTCTAAGATTATAGACTATAAAAAGTCATCCTTAAATATAGCCAAATGGCTCCAAGCAATCTATCCCAACAATAGAATGACTTTTGAACTTCGAGTAGTTTTTTACATAAATGTAAACAAATACATACATATGTATGTGGGAATGTACAGACTTTAGATGTAATTCTTTTCTCTTCACTGATGTAAACCAAATATGGTTATTAAAGTGCTGCAGTCTGTATGTGGGTGGAAAGTTGGTTAACAGAGTGTTCTGTTCTAGCTTTATGTTTTCAGTGGATGTAATGTAATGTATTCCAGTTAGCTTCATAGAAGCTAAATATGGTGCTCAAGGATCTATTTGCTACGATAATGCTGCAAGACTAATGAAAATGTTAGTTAGAAGAGGGACACTGAGCTGTCTGGCTTATATCTTGCTTTTCCACCATTTTTTCTATTTTTATTACATGTTGTATTCTTTTTTTACATATGATATGGACTCTAAATATTTTTATATACATACTGAACAAAATCGTAGCAGATAGAGGAAAAGAGAATGAAGACTAAAGAGGCAAAACGCTGCTAGAAGACTAAACAGGCATAAGGAATCAATAGGGCTCATTGGACTCTGAAAGAGACAAAAGCAAAAAAAGTCTTATGGCCTGAGAAATGAATTATATTTTCCCTTAGTACAAAACAAAGGAACAGAAACCAAAGAAACACAGCCTCAGTTTTGAGTCATGTAAAAAACAGACCAAGTCAATGACATGGAAACAGGTGGTAAGAGAATCCCAGGATCACATGGGAGAGAATTGAGAGTAATGGAAGGGAGGGGAGAAAAAATCTATTCTAAAGTTCACTGACGTGAAGGTGAGTACTAGATATTCCTTGCAAGTTGAGAAGGTGAAACATTGGTTTAGGGATACCCTTAGCTTCAGCAATTATAGGTCCTTCAGGTGAACTTACAACAAGCTCTCCAGGTATCAGAAATCTTTCCTATAGAGAAGCAGAGTCACTGAGGGGGCGGATTTCAACTTGCAAGTTGTCTACCATAGCTTCAAGTGAACTCAGATGTGAGCCAAGGATAAGCGTAGGGGCAAATTGAATTCTAAGAATTGGTGGGTGTCTTCAGTCTTGGTATATTGATGGCAATACCATTCTCAGAAGTCCGCAGCTGTAGAATAATAAAATATAATCATATAAAGAAAATTAGAAGTTTTGTGAAAAGAAAGAAAATCAAAGAATGTGTAGAAAAATTCCATTATGGAGAAATTGAGCCAGATTGGCATATGTTCAGTTCAGGCTTTATATGTAGGTGAGGTAGATGCATTTTGAAACTGGTGATCACTCAACAGTTTTCTTGGTGAGAAATATACACATTTGATACTGAATATATGAGGACTTCATAAAGTTCATGAACAAATGAAATTAAAGTATGAGTTTATTTTGGTGCAAAACATTTTGAAAGCTATACATGATTTTGTTTTCATGATACATATTTTCCGTGAACTTATTTAAGCCTCATAAGTAGCTAAGCATATTCTCTTTTAATTATCTAATTTGTTTTGTACTTTAGGTAGTTCCAGGAAAAATGTAAATGGAAAACTATTTCTGTAGATTCAGGTGCTAAACAATCAGTAGACAAATACTAAATACTTTTTCCTACTATGTGCTAGGCTGTTAACAATCTCTGTAACCTAGACACGTTGCCAATGAACAAACAACAAACTGAGAAAGAGTCGTAAACCAGAGGACAGAATATTTTAATGCAAGACCTAGGATGGGGAGAGATTTGTGCTTGGTTTTAAAAGCTACTTAAAATGTTTCCTATGAGAGAGCTAGAAAACAGTGTTTAAAGCAAGGACACTGTTAGAAATTAGAATGTAGTTCATGATAAACTGAAAATTCTGCGAAGAATAATTACTTTGAAAGTCAGCATTGTACTATTTTTCTCTTTTCTTTAACTTTTTTTAATGTTTAAAATAAAGGTTTTTTTTTTTTCATTCTTCATATAGGTCCCAGAAAATGTTTAAGTTCATTCTTATTTATTTATTTTGAAAGAGATTTTTGCTATAGGACATGTGCACTTGCCAGAGAGACAGGGAGACAAAAAAGCAAGAAATTGCTTCCCAGGGGAGGTGGCCACA